GGGGAGGGAGCAGGACGGGGGCTCCCGGCTTCGGGCGGGCGCGCACGTGACTGCGCCGCTTCGGACGTGTGCACACGTGCACGCACGCGACTGGGCCGGCTGCCGCTTCGTACACGGACACGCGCGCGCACGACGGGAATCCGCCTTCGTAGGTGGGCAGAAGCACAGACGACTGGACCCCCCCCCTTCATACATGTACACATGCACATGACAGGAATCCCCTTTTGTACACAGACAGGCGCACAGACTGGCTTCCCCCTTCATACATGTACATGCACGCGCACGCACACACACACGATTGGAGTCTTCCTTTAGGTATGCACACACAACAGCCACCCCTTCCTACACATATGACTGGAGGAACACACACACGGAACCGGAAATCCGCCCTTCATACACGTGTATACACATACACCGACAAATGCTGCATGCACACACGTGACTAGAACCTCCATCCGTGTACGCATGCACGAGCAGACCGCCCCCCTTCAGATACATACACATACATGACTGGGAACGTGTACACACATACACCGACAAGTGTGAAATGCTGCATGCACACACGTGACTAGAACCTCCATCCGTGTACGCATGCACGAGCGGACCGCCCCCCTTCAGATACATATACATACATAACTGGGAACGTGTACACACACACACACCTGGAACTCCCCCCTTCATACACATGCGTGCGTACACACACACACACACAGCACCCCCTCCATCTGCACACAACTGGAACGCCCACCCTGCTTCACGCAAGTACGCACACGCACACACGCAGGACTAAGGGAGCTCAGCACTTCCTCCTGCCTTTCTTCTAGGAAGCCAAGACTTCGTCCCACCGGGGCGAGGACTGGGACCGGTCACCACTCGGTGGTCTAGGACCACCAAACCCTGCTTATCCTCAGAGCCGGGCTGCTGGGGAACCTCTCCCGGTACCCACGCGCACAGCCTCGCTGGGATGCCCTGCTGGGCTCAGGCAACGTCCCCCACCGCGATCGCTGCCGCGCGGGGTGCAGGGTGCGGGGTACGCCGGCTGCGGGTTCCCAGCTATTCCAGCACAAGCAGCACAGTGCTCCTAGCACACGGAGCTCTTCCACCCCGCACACGGCCTCCCCAGTGCAGCAGCCCACCCCCAGTAACACCAGTACGGCTCTGCATCAGTTCTCTCTTGCCTGGGATGGATTAGTCAGAGATGATCCTGCCTCGAGAGCAGAGGGCTGGACTAGATGAGACCTCATGAGGTCCCTTCCATGTCTCCTTTCCTACGACCCTGTGATTGTGGCCAAAGAATACTGTATTTTCTAACAGACAACACACCCTGGAGTATAATACGTCCCTTGTTTTTGAAAGGCAGAATGAAAAAGAAAAGCATTTTCCAGCATTATGGTTGCATGGACCAGGGCCAGAGCCTAATCTTCAGCTGACTCGCTCTCCCTCTCCTGATTAACTGAAGCTTAAACCCTTGCTGCTGCTGAAGATAGGTGTCCATGGGTGGATCTATGATTTATTTATTTTTTTTAAAGAACAGAAGAGTCTCCAGGGCTGTGAAACAGGAAGAGAAGCCAGGAGCAGACAGCAAAGCTGCCCAAAGAAATTAGTGGAACATCCAGACTATTAAAAAGAAGAGATGTTCGCTAACATCTCTGGAGTTGGAAGAACAATGAACCGTTAAGTGAGCTGACTCCTTCAGCTGCCTGAATAGTAATGTCACAGCTGCTGCATGGTGGAGCAGGAATCAAAGCAGGGTGCTTCCATCCTGGGCAGAAAGTCAGCTTCCCTGCTTAATACGTGCACCCCATTTTTTTGGGAGGGAGGCTTATTCTGGGGGGGAAAGGTGGATGTTGTAGGTGATAAAATACAGTAGTAGATTATTCTTATCAAAAGTACCCTCTGACTCCAACATCCACACACTTAAATGTTTAGGTGCCAGTATCCTGTCCCCACACCCCCAACCCCATGTGCAATCAGGGCAAGTCAGGGGTCTTAGAGTGGTGACCCCGAACAGGCATCACGCTAAGCACTAAGCAGAGAGCTATGTAGAGCTAGCCAGTAAGGATCGCCAGGTCCACTTCCCTATCTTCACAGCTTACACACTTTCACTACTTAATATACAGAGCCCAGAGTCCTCTCCTGATGGGAGGCGCCTATAGTTCCTCTTGCAAAGGGCTGAGCAGGACTCACAGATTTTGTTTAAGGCAGGAGACCTGGGCTATAGGTCTTCTACAGTCAAAGGGGATTGAAACATGTATGTGTTCTCAGGGGGTTTGTTACATGGCCTTTCAAGGGAACAAAAATACTTCCCTTGGCTGCAAGAGGCAGTGGAGTAATCCATAATGCCACTCAGCGTAGCCTGCCCCAGCTGGCTGGGGCATGAGGGTGCTTCAGTGCAGGGTGCCAGCCCCTTCACAGCACAGAGCCGGGGGAGCAGCCCCAGGCTGGCAGGCTGACCCCTGGGGCCCCAGCTAGATGGGGCTGCTCTGACCTGTCTCAACATGCTGCAGTCCTTGAGCTCACGGGGCCAGGGACGCCCAATCTATTCCTTGAGCTAATCCACAACCCAGGATCTTCCTTTGTCAAATTCACAGCGGACACAAAGCTGCGCTTGGGCAGAACAGAAACTACTGTCAACTCTTAGTCCAGGAACCTGCTTACTCGATAAGCCTTTTAGCACTTTTCTCAAGTAACTTAAGTACAACAACAACAAAAGCCTTTATATGGATCTCTGGAAGGGATTGTAGTTAATATAACCATATTGATTTAGACTTACATTTTGTGTTCTATTGAAACAAATCTCTCTCTCTCTCTGGCAGAGAAGGCCTCAAGGTTTTAGTAATTCTTCCACTTTGTTTATATCTACCCTACGACAAGAATACACCATATCAGAGTAATTAAAAGTATACATCCTCCAAGAGGCTTAAATTAAAACTATCCAACATTTACTAAAATGTCAGCTGATTTAAGAGGGGTTTAAAACTTTAGTCTAGAGACTAAAAAGATAAAGCCATCTTCTAAAGCTTGTGTGGATTTAAAGAGCATGAAGAGACAGATGGGAAATAGGTTTTCTGTCCTTGAGGTTCTGAAAATAACACTGAGTGTAAGCTGTTGTGGAGTTACCTTCTTGTACCCAGAGGTATCCTGAAACATGAACAGAGGCCGGAACTGCCCCATTTATCTCGGTGGACATTAACTCTGCGTTATGAGCAGTGGTAACTATTTGTTTCTGCTGAAGCCACCAGTAATGAAACTTCTTGGCAAGGTGCTTATTGCAGGATTCTGCATTACGGCCCTTCATCCCCTTTTTGCTAGTTGTCTTTGCTGTCTCGGTTGGTTGCCAAAGCAAAAAGCCCACTGCCCCACTGACAATTCCTATAGGCAACTATGTATGGTCAGTATCCAACCTGGAAGTCAATGGAAAAACAGGCTCATCCAAACAACAGGGTGCTACAGTAATGATTGGACTACTCATCTTTGCTACTACACTTCTTAAATTAACTTGCCACAAGTTTCTCCAGTCTGGCCCAGCAATTCTGCACCCTTGGGACCAGATCCTAGTCTACCCATCAGGCAAAGTAATACTAAGGCAACCAAGTACAATCCTGTTTTACCTTGCTGAAGCCCCTGAAAAACCATGAACACCAATGTTTCTGCAGTATGCTCTCTTCTAAACTTTAAGAGTCAGACAGAGCAGCAAGGAGGACCCACCCATCTTTTCTATTGACTGGCATTTCATGGACTCTTAGGAGAATGGAATAAGTTCATGCTTGTTGGATAGAATAGGATCTTGCCTTGTACAATTCAAATTCAGCTTGCAGAAAAGGACAGGGACTAGTACCTAGGTAATAACTAGGATATCACAGAATCAGAGAGAAGTCAGGCTGGAAGGGACCTCCACAGGTCATCTAGTCCACCCCCTGCTTGAG